ACATCGGCCAGCACCACTCACCTCAATGTTTATACCATTACAAAAACAACAACAACAGCAACAAAAACCATTGGCCGGTAAAAACGAAAAATCACCATAGCTGGACAACCATATCCAGTCCAGCTATGGTCGTGCCATCAGTTAACCCTTCCCAGGGTTGCCGACCGCTGGTCTAATGTCAGAGGCCATAAGAAGATCATTCGTAACCTTCACTAAAGCTGCTTCAATACTGTGATGAACTCTAAAACCTGACTGATACTCTTCAAATAAGCCCTTCCTCTGCAGATGATTGGTTAGCTGTTTGACAACGCTTTCAACATTTTTTGAGATGAAAGGAAGGTTGGAGATTGGCCTATAATTAGCTAAGACAATTGGGCAAGAGATGGCAAGTAACGGTTTAACTACTGCCAGGTTGAAGTCAGATATGCAGCCAATTATTAGAGATTGGTTGATCATATTTAACGTTGACTTCTTTGAGGAGTCTTATAGGGATGGAGTCTAAAAGACACATTGATGGTTTGTAGGAAGTAAAATGTTGGGTTTTAGAAAGCAGGACCCAAACACAGGAACTTTAGAGTTGGCGACAGTGTGTTTATTTACATTTACAAAACAAACAAACAAATAAAAATCATGTACTGCAAACAATCCATAGTGTGTGATTTCTTCCATGATGACTTTCCAGTTCCCATGTACTGAATCCTTCCTGTGGTCGGTGGTGACAAACACAAACTCATCTCAGTTCAATTTACAAAAAGAGCTCAGCTCTCTTGGGTTTCCTAACAAAACATGACACAAAGGTAAGTACACTTATCGTATACAATGATTGACAAAGACGGATTCACCTGGTGAGCTAGAGTTAATGGAGTCACTTTTCAGGACCCGGGCTTTTATGTGATAGTTGTATTAAATCGTATGAAAAACAGAGCCCACCTGACCTCGCAAGAGTTTAGGCTCTTGACTGCGTGCAGGTATGCCAGGTTCTTGTGGTCGGTCCAAACGACCAATGGATGTTCCATCCAGCCAGTGCCTCTAATGCGTTTGTTGGCTAGCAGTTCACGGTCACCCAAGTCAGAGTTTCTTTCAATCTGAAAGAGGCACTGAGAAAAGAATGCACAGGGATGAAGCTTACCCTCAGAGGTCTGGAATAACAGCCCTAACCCCTGAATCCAAAGCATCCACTCCTACCATGAAAGACTTTGAGAGATTAGGCTGAACCAAAGGCTGAAGGCTGGAGAGAGACTGTATAACGGACTAGTGGGAAGTGGTACACCTGGGAGCAAATCTATCCCACAGTTGTAAGGATGATGAGGTGGGATAAAGAGAGCTAAATCCTTGCTGAATTTTTTTGCCAAATCATGGTAGACCGTAGGAACAAAGGTTAAATCAGGGGTGTTGAACTCCAGGCCTCAAGGGCCGATGTCCTTCAGGTTTTCGATATCACCCTGGGTCAACACACCTGAATCAAATGATTAGTTCATTACCGGGCCTCTGGAGAAATTCAAGACATGTTGAGGAGGTTTTTAACCATTTAAATCAGCTGTGTTGGATCAAGGACACATCTAAAACCTGCAGGACACTGGCCCTCAAGGCCTGGAGTTCGACACCTGTGGTCTAAATGGTAAATGGACTGATTCTTATATAGTCTTTTTCTACTCTTCCGGACTACTCAAAGTGCGTTATACAACATGCCACATTCACCCAATCACACCCATTCACACAAACACTTTCTGCTAAGCTTTTTAGTGCTTCCTAACTAACATTCAAACACATTAATACTCAGATGGATGCATCGGAGAGCAAATGGGGTTAGTATCTTGCCTAAGGATACGCATCTACTCTTGATTAAACCTGTTTGATCAGGATGTATTATGAATAGGGTGGTTTTTTTCTAATCCCTACATTTATGACTGAGATTGGGTGGTATCTGGATGGGAGTATGGGATCCTTGGTTTAAGAAGTGGACTAATGATGGCAGTGTTATTGTTTGGAGATGATCTGTAAACATTCTGAATTTGAGTTACCATTCTGAAAAAAGTGGTTGCTATCATAGACCACCATCTTTTCTTATTGTTTGAGAGATGTTGTAGGGTTTTGAATGAATCAAGAGACACAATCTGTTTGTCCTTTAGTTTTGATAGATTTAGATACATTTAGATTTAGATAAACTCTTCAATGTCTTCAATATGGATTAATCTGTGACGAGTATAAAGCTTTGTAAAAGTCTTTAAAAGATTTATTTATTTGTTGTGGATCATGAATAATGTTCCCAGTTGAATCCTTTATAGAATAAATTGTTGTTTTTTCTTTATTTAGTTTTAACTGTGATTAGCAACGAATTTTCAAATTTATGGCTATGTTCAAAGTTAGTTAAACAACTAATAGCTCAGTGTTTCAACATTCGGAAGAAGGGATTGCACTCAGGTGTAGAGATTGACGAGTTACAACACATATCCAACCACTCTGACCTGTCATCCTGGTTGGAGATATAGCACCCCCATGAGATAGGTTACCAAGCCCCAAGTGTGATGAAAGAAGGGTCAATGAGTGCGAGAAGAACTGACCTGAAAGAGATATAGCTGACCCATAGCCGGTTACCAAGACTACGTGAAGTACCCTCAGAAGATCTATTATATGATGTGAATACAGCACTACGGGCAATACCTACCCCCACTATTACAAGACTAACCAGTGATCAGTACAGAAAGGTTCAGTGATGAAGGTGCCTAAGAAGTATAACAAGCTGTCCACACCTGAGGTCTTGGAAACTGCCAAGCAAAGACTCACAGCCCTGGCCAGCTGCTTGAAGAGAAACACCAGAGAGATAAAAGGCAGGAAATAAGCCAGCGGTTCTCCAAAGAACCAGCAAACGTGTACTCTCAGTGGTAGGGGAACAATATGAGCACAACACCACCAAGGTTGGAGACGGAGCAATACTGGAAGAGCGTGTGGCAGAAGGACGCAATCCATAACAGCAATGCTGGGTCTAAGAACAGACCACAGCAACCTCCCTGAACAGGTCCATTTTAAATAGCAGTGGCAGACATCCAAGAAAGGGTCTCCAGTATGAAGAGTTGGACAACACCAGGCCCCGACATGATTCATGCCCACTGGCTGAAGAAGCTGAATGTACTCCACAAGCATCTGGCAGCACAAACAAACCCGCTGCTAGTTGATGAGAGACACCCAGAATGGCTGGAGTGTCCTAATCCCCAAGGACCCCCATAAGGGACCAGTCCCATCCAACTACCGGCCAAACACCTGCCTCACTACCACATGGAAGTGGTGGCCAAGATGAACAGGCACATGGCTCAATACATGAGCAGGGCACATAACGGAATAGGCAAGAATACCAGAGGTGCAAAACACCAGCTACTCGGCTGACTGCTCTGTCCGAGACTGCAAGACTAGATGCTAGCAGGCAAGGCACACATGGAACGTTACAACAAAGTGTCTGGCATGGTATACAGAAACATCTGTGCTGAGTATGGACTGGAAGTCCTAAGGTCAAAATGGGAGATGTCCCCAGGGTGGTCAAGAATGACTGAGGTAAGATCCTGTGGGATTTCCAGATTCAGACTGACAAAATGGGGGTGGCTGACCAACCGGACATAGTAGTGGTAGACAAGCAGAGGAAGATGACTGTGGTAGACGTAGCAATACTGAATCACAGCAACATCAAGAAGAAGGAACAGGAGAAGCTAGAGAAGTACCAAGGGCTCAGAGAAGACCTTGAGAAGATGTGGAGGGTGAAGGTAACAATGGTCCCAGTGGTGCACTTGGTGCAGTGAGTCCCAAGCTAGGCAAGTGGCTCCAGCAGGTTACAGCAGGAAAAACATCTGACATCTCTGTGCAGTATCTTCTCCTCAAGCTCCCAGGCCTCTGGTAGAGGACCTGAGCTTGAAGGATAGAAGTAGTCAGATACAAGTAGTCATTTGAATCCTTAATTCTCTCCCTTCCTAATAACATCCCGCCATCTCTCTTTATTATCTTTTATTATGTTAGAAAAACCAGTTTCCTCAGACTGTGAGAGACTTTAAGGGAGCTCTGTTTGACTTCAGATGACCAAGTACTTCCTAATGGAGTGCAATCTAAACACTAATACTGTATGTATTCAAGCTTTCCTACAAGATGTGTTAAACATGGATTTTTTTTTAATGTGTTTGTTTCCAGGTGAAGAGCGTGAACCTTTCAGATGGAGAACAACTGTCTATCACAGGTGTTGATGAACACGGTTCTTTGCTGGTCTTGGCCAACCATACACTGCTTGTTGAAGGTCAGGTGATCCGCAGTCCCACTAACACTCTCTCTGTCTACTACTGCTCTGGACTGGAGGGAAGCATGGGTATCTTCCAGCTGCACTATCAAAGTAAGTCTACACACCACTCATTTACACACTTACTGAAAAGAGTGTACAAAACTCAGTTTATGCCATGACTAAAACATGAATATTGATTTATATTAACAGGTCATAGAAATTCAATAAATAGTACTTTCATTGGGGCCTAAGGGGCTGTTTACACTTTATACACATGCTAATTACAGAATCATAAACCATCTCACCTAATCAGTTTGCATGGTGATTGAATTTTTCATGTTAATTAGCTGATTAGAGCCCTGATTAATTGGCTCTCATCTCATTATGACACTATATGGGATATGGGAGTTTGTATAAAGAGTCCCTTTGTTGTGTATGTTGCTGTGTGTATATGTGTGCTGTGTCATCCATTTTAATCTTTTTATATTACCGCTAGACAGAAGAATAGTGCTGACGTGTTATCAAGGTTAAAAAAACACACACACAACATAAAGAGACAAGGAATATTGTCTCACACAGCTTACATGGCTTGTTATAATTAGGATTTTTCAATTGCCCATAACTACTTGATTTCTTAAGTCATTGGGTTCTCAGTATGAGAAACTATGTTGCACCCTTGGATGTTTTAATTAGCTGGTTCTTGGCACCATCTGTTATGGCTCTGCAGCTAGATATGTGAATGTCATGCACCATTTACATACATCTGTAATGATAAGTTCTACACTATGTACTGTAGTCTAGCCCTACATTTTATAACACTGTTCAGTATTTCCCATAATCTTTTAATATTATCTATCTAATTGCTTCTTATAGTATTTCTTTTTACTATATCTTAGTATATTGATTAACTTATTTTAATATCTTTTATATCTAATTTCAGCATCTTCAGTTCTCTTTTTTAAGAAATCTCTGTATAGTGCATTTTTCTTTCTCCACACATTTTGCAGACCTTTTGTTATCCATGGACAGTATATAACTTATGTTTCCTACCATATTGCTTTATTGGACAGTTTTATACAATAACAATTATCATACAATAATGTAAATATTCTAAGGAATTCATCATACATTCATCATTTTTCTGTCCACTTTATGAATCTTGTAATTCCTATTGTAGACTGTAAAAATTGGAAGATGGTCACCGTCTTATTTTCAATGTCATTTGTTAAAATGTTTTCTATCAGAGTTGCATAATGTGATGTGATCCTGGTAGGTCTAGTAATTTTGGGGAATAGGTTCATATAGTACATCGTGTTAATAAATTTCTCAGTGATTTTGTTTATTTGGGTTTAGCAAATCAATATTGAGATCTCCACAAATGAAAAGTTTATTGTGAGCTATTTCTGTAAATGTTTCTTCTATCAAGTCTTTAAAGGTCTCAATACTACTACCTGGAGCTCTGTATATACAGCTAATGATTAATTCTTTTTATTTTTTCTTTAAAAATTTCAACTGTTATACAATCCACCACATTAAATTTCAAGGATTTTCCCACATACAAGGCCACTTCTCCTCCGCCTTTGTTTCACAGAGTTATAAATGTGACTTCATAACCCTCCAGTTCAAAGTCTGTTCCGTTTTCCATGTTAATCCAAGTTTCCGATCAGGCAATGACACTGAATGCATGGGCAAACTGGTTAAGATATTCTTTGATATGATTAAAATTAGCATATAGACTTCTACAGTTAATGTGGATAATTGCTAATTTATTCTCAGTTTTAATCCTCTGATTGTACTCTTCATTTGTATAGTAGCAGCAGTTGTTATTGATAGACGAGAAGAGGATGTTGTCTGGATTTATTTAATATTCCAAGTCCTGTGTGTTTTGATCCACATAGTTAAATGTTTTCAGTTCCAGTTGATCATACTCTGCAACAGTCTGACTGATGCAGCTGCTTTTTACAGATGCAGCTGAGCTGTTCCTTTCAGTGTATGTCATAAGTGAGTTTGTTTGTTACCTTAAGGTTTGAGGTTGTTTGTTACCTTGTTTATAGTCCAGATCATGTTGCTTGCTGATATTTTTCTGCATCAGCAGAATCCTTCTCTTCATTCAGTAGAGAAACACTGGGATATGAGTTATATTATAAACTACAACCTGAGATTCATGGGTGGTGCTGTTATTTGGTGTTTGCTGTCGCTGCAGTAGAGTATTACTTCTTGTTCCTGTTCCAGCACACAGTGGTGTTTTTGTGTAGCTTGTCGGTATAGCCACTTTAATTAAAAACTTATAGATAACCTCTTATTTTATAACCTAATGTATATGTGCTTCATCAAAAGCACACTCTCTGTTGATTCGCTCTCTAATTATATTTACAGTATTCTGTCACTGTGTCTTTAGGGATTCGCTAGCTTAGCTTATAGCTGACTTGCTACCAGCATGGATTCTTCACCTGTCCCTCCTGAACTTTCCTGCTCATTGTGTCAGATGTTTAATTAATCCTCAGCCTTATTTAGCAATAATGTTACTGGTAATAAATGTAGCCTATTGGCAGCTTTGGAGGCTAGGATCACTAAATTGGAGACCTGGCTTTGCATCCATAAATACTCGTAGCTTGCCAGCCCACTGTAAACGGTGCAGCTGAATGTAATGTAGGCCCCATTAGCTCTCCCTGAGCAGCTGGGAACACAGGATAGCTGGGTGACAGTGAGGAGGAAGCATATTCTCAAACAGAGGCCCCCAGTACACAATCAACCCACTCATGTATCTAACAGTTTTTCCCCACTCTGCAACACACCCACCAGGGATCAAACTCTGGTTACTAGTGATTCTGTTCTGAGACATGACGCTAAAGACACCAGAAACTATCGTCTAATGCACATTTCTAATTTAATTATATGAATTAGACATGTGCAATTACCCTCCATTGGCAGGAGCAGAGGGGGAAAAAAAATCTGTTTTATTCTCAGAATTAACATGAAAATCCTTGAAGTGAATAGTGCCCGTGGAAATAGTGCTGGGCTCGGAAGGAGCCAAGCAAGCATAGTCTTTGTTACTCCCCACAAAAAACACTGCCCCAGTGTAAACGGTCAATATTTTAGTAGGTATGATAGAAATGTCATTGTTACTCCCCACAGCCAGCTGCTCTGAAGTCCCGGAATCTGGCTGTGGAGAGAAACTTCTCAGGGGTTCATGTTCACCGCACCACCTGAGAAGAAAGAACTCAGAACGTAACAGTTAGCTTAGGTATGGTTCATATGCAAAGTAATCATACAGTGTAAACCTTTTGATTCTTTAAACATTAAATTTTCTCTCAGCAAGACTGCAATAGCAACTGTTAGTGATGTTCAGTAATAGTTTGCAAGTATCAGTTAGACAGTCATGTTATTATAATGTGCAAAACCAGAGTTATGAATGATTAAGGCAAGACCATTAGAACAAGATCAGACCTAAAATTTATTGTCATCGCGATATCAGCCTGTGCGATGGGCCCATCGCAAAAGATGGCGTAAACTGCGAATATTGGGTACCTTAAAGTGTTTACACACGCGCTTTAAAAAATTTACCAATCAAAGAAACCCCTTTACACATTTGACCAGTCGAATAGAGCCCTTCACGGCATTAACCAATCAAAGGGATTAGGGGCCCGCCTCCTACGTAGGTGGTGAGCGAACAACGCTGCAGCAACGAGTCAGAGTTGTAACGGCTGAGAGCGAGACACATGACGAGAACGCTATTATGAACTTGTGGCTAAAAAAAATTGTACCTCGCTTATTTGGAGGTACTTTGGATTTGATAAAGACGACGTTCTCCAAACACAGGTACTCTGCAAAACTTGCTGAACACTCGTGGCCACCACCAGAGGAAACACGACTAATCTCCACCATCATCTTCAATACAACCACAGAGAACTGTTTGAAGAGTTCCAGATAGACAGGGCTAGCCAAACAAAGGTTGCTAATGTTAAGACAAAGAGCACAGCAGTCCAATAGCCGTCTCTGTATCAGAGTTTTTGAAGTGGAACTCCTTATGAGAAAACGTCGAAGCGGTACAAGGAAATAACAGAGGCCATTACACATTTTTTGGCTAAAGACATGATGCCTGTAAATACGGTTAGCAGAGAGGGCTTCACCAGTCTGATACATAAAGTGGACCAGAGATACCGCATCCCCTCATGAAACTAAATGGCAAATGGACTTGTTCTTATATAGCGCTTTTCTACTCTGTCTGAGCACTCAAAGCGCCTTATACAGCTAATTCATTCACCCAATCACACTAGCACTTTTTTCTGACTTAAGTGCTAAGTAGTCTACCATTCATACACATTCACACTCCGATGGATGCATCGGAAAGCAACATGGGGTTAGTATCTTGCCCAAGGATATTTGGCATGCAGACTGGAGCAGCCTAGGATCGAACCAACGACCTTCTGGTTAGTGGCTGACCTGCTCTGCCACCTGAGCTACAGCCACCCCATGTCTACTTTTCCCATGTCGCCATTCTACAAATGTACGAAACATGCCGGAAGACCTTCATGTTTGAACTGAGCCAAGCTGAAAACTACGCAAGCACTACAGACCTATGGTCAAGTCGTACAACGGAACCATATATGAGTTTCACAGTGCACTTCCTCACCGAAGACTTTGAACTGAAAACATGGTGTCTAGACACTGTGTATTTTCCAGACTCTCACACTAGTGAAAATATAGCCCATGTATTACGTGAGGTGCTAGCCAGCTGGTATCTTAAGGAAGACTGACAAGTGTGTTATGTTTATTTAAAACTAACTCTAGAGACTGGGAAGGATGTCATTCAGAACTCAAGCCTCAGAAATTTTTTATATGGGGGCAATGTTTCAATGTTAAAGTGCACTTTGTTCAATGACATGATGCCACAGGGGAAGTGAAACTAAACACACTGAACATGGACCACAAGACTGTCAAAATAAAATAGGAAATAGGCAAACTAAGACACATGGACTTGACATGGTGATAGGGAACTGGAGATGAGACATGGACACTACTAAACAACAAATACAGAGAACATGATGGCTAGGAAGAACACACATGACAGAATGACACAAGAGGAAACGTAAAGAAGAGCGGGAGACGAG